TCCCACGAAATTCTCAACGAGATCTCACAGCGCAACCCTGAGCTTTTCAAGACTCACGTGGGAGGGCTGTGCAAGGGTCTCATCGAGCAAGCTCCCACAGAGACCAACGAGAACGATTCCAACGTTGTCGATACCTTGAAAGCTTGTGCTTCATACTCAAAGAAGTACCCAGAAGAGATTCCTCAAGACCGAAAATTCTCACAGGCTCTTGTTAGCTACGCTCTGTATGGACGGCCTGTGAAGTCTGCCAAGTATGCCATCAAGATTCTCCTGGCCAAGGGCGACGACAAAGGCCTAGTCAGTGCAACCAGCTTGTTGGAGAAGATTATGCAAGACTGGACCTACGGCTCAGCGCACTTCCTCAACAAGCTCCAGTCTGTCGCACAGCTGGAATTGCAAGTGCCCAAGATTACCCTCGATTCAGATGATGACATCCTCAACATGACGGTGCAGCAAATTTTGCTCAAGGTCCGAACAGACGCAACAGACAAAGACCCCGAGTGGGTGGATGACGCTAGCGTGGATGAGGAATTGCAAGCGAAGTGCCTGTCATTGCATATTCTCGTCAACCGACTGCGCAGTATGGACGATGTCGAAGAGGCTAAAGAGAAGGCCGTACCTGTCTTCAAGCTGCTCAAGACATTGGTCGCGAAGAGAGGAGAGCTCTGCAAGACGAAGGATACTCCCAACCACCACAAGTCACGACTTCGTCTGCTAGCAGCTCAGCTGTTGCTGAAGCTATGCACCATCAAGCATTTCGACGACTTCCTGACGCCGGCCGATTTCAACCGTCTCGCATTCACGGCGCAGGATACCGAACTAACTGTTCGCCGGGGTTTCATCGAGAAGCTCCAAAAGTACCTTGTGCAGAACAAGCTTCGGGCACGCTTCTACACCATCATCTTCTTGACGGCATTCGAGCCGAACAACGATCTGAAGCAGCGCGTTGAGACCTGGATCCGGTCCCGGGCTCGCGCATTGGGGGCGAATGAACAGCACCCTATGGAGGCGATTATGGGACGACTCATCTCTTTGCTGTCTCACCATCCCGACTTCAACAAGCCAGAGAATATCGATGATGCCAGTGCAGAGGAATTGAGCTCATACGCCAGCGACCTAGCGGACCATGGCCGCTACATTCTGTACTATCTTACAAATGTGGCAACGGAAGAGAACTTGGGACTCATCTACAAGTACGCTGAAAGGGTGAAGCAGACTCGTGATGCGATCAGCCCGGAGGCGAGCGAGAATCTTTACATTGTCAGCGATTTGGCCCAGGCCGTTGTAAGGAAATGGCAGGAGAGGAAGAATTGGAGTTTCCAAGCGTACCCGGGCAAGGTCGGGTTGCCGATCGGCCTCTACACTGCCTTGCCTTCACACCAGGTCGCCCAGGAGATTGCCGAGAAGCAGTACCTGCCGTCAGAGATTGATGAGAAATTGGACGGTCTGTTCAAATCAATCGATCGAAAGAAGGTAAGCCGACAATGTCTCCCATGTTGCCCGATCTCTAAGCTTACAAAATTACAGAAGAGAAAGTCTACAGATGATCGTGGAGACCACCATCCAGCCAAGAAGGCAAGGTCAGCCCCGAGGGTCAGGGAGCCTAAGGCACCAAAGGAACCTAAGCCGAAGAAGCAGAAGGTCAAGAAGCCCGCCAAGGTCAAGGCCCCGCGCCGCGAATCTGACATTCCCCTGGAAAATCGGAGACGCAGCGGCCGTGCTGCTACCACTGCTGTATCCAAGTACACCGAACGCGACTCATCCGACGACGACCGTGAGATGTGGGACGGCGTCAGCAAGTGGACGTACGAGAATGAAGATGGAGAACAGACGGAGGTGTCAGATGACGATGATGACTCTTCGGTTCTCTCGGAAGCCCCAGAGGAAGAAAATGGCGAGGGGGCTAAGAAGCCAACAGCTGCTGCCGATGACAGCGGCGATGATTCGCCGTTGTCCGAGGTTGAGGACGTTGCGACAGAGGAACCAGAGAAGGAGGAAGTAGAAGCAGACGACGAGGAAGAGCCGGAAGAAGCTACGCCACCGCCCAAATCCAACGGGCGAAAGGGCAGGTCGGCAGCAGCATCAAAAGCGGCAGCTAAGACTAAACTACCAGCCCGACCTGCAGCCAAAGAGAAGCCCGCTCCGAGAGCGACGAGGACGTCGGCGCGGAGCACCCGTGGGAGGGCCGCCCAGGAGTCGATGGACGTTGATGAGAGTGACTGATCGAGGGCGGGAGTGTACAAAAAGTTTTATCTTCATTGTTGCGGTGCTTTTCAATTGGTTTTAGGCATGGCTATATGTTGGCTTATGGAGGATGGATATCCCCTGCGGTGGTTGGGTGTTTTGAGTGCGCCGCCTGCGAATGCAGCTGAATCCATCATTTGCAGCTGCAATGTACTCTCGTTTCCATGCTTTCTGTCGAAACTGTCAATATACCCATGCTGCTGAAATAATTCAATCCATGAGTTATCATGTGCAGGAGGCATTATTGTGCTTCCAACTGGTTCGAACTTGTCACGAGCTTTTCCGTGGTAATATTTGAAGAGTAGCTTCCATTGCATGTGGCCGTACACAGTATCCGTGCTCCCTACGTTACACTCCGTAGTCTCTCTGACCCTGCGGGATATGGGGAACAGCAAGCTACACAAAGGAGCTCTACCATTAATTTGTGTGCAAGGAGTCCATAAGCTCTGTTGAAGCTTCTTCTGAAACTATTAACACCCTCAGGTGAGGTGGATGGCAAACACGGTGCTCAGCACAGCCAGGGTGGTCAGCTTGCAGCGACATGGCTTATGTTATCATATTTCTCTTTTCTGTTCTTGCCCTCTCACCAATCTTCCTTTCCATTCATGGATGGACGGGACCCCGATTGAAGCGGACCGGGATGTCATGTCAAAACTTGACCAGGAACGTAAGGAGTCTTTCCAGAGGCTACCTGCCTCAGTGACTACAGATAGTAATGAACTACCCGAGGCAAGTGAGGTCGAGCTAATGAAGATGGAAAGGTTCAGGAAGCTACCACTAATTTGCACCTGCCTCCCTTGACTTTGATAGAACGGGAAGGCACCTCAGGTTCTCCCCAGGGTTTCATAAAGCTTAACCCTGCCCAGTCAACCCGAGTGCAAAGAACCTAGAGCTCCCATCTTCAACTAGGAAACTTACACCGCCTGACTTGCGGACCTGACCTCTTGTTCTACCACTGTTGGGCCGCTCATTCACAGCCCATTGTCTTGCTTGCAGTGCAGAATGACCTGGCCGGATATCGACTATCTTGAGCTGCCCAACGGGCGAACCATTATCGTTTGCGCATCTCATCACATGGTCACCTGCGGAAAATGTTGTCTTGACTTCAGCCATGACTTCGAGTACGACGAAGACGGAAACTACTTGGACGAGGATGACGAAGAAATCTTTGGCTTTGACTACGACTCTCGCCTTCCCAGGGATGTCAGCTTCGCTCATGTTGCGAGAAGCCGATATGGCCGTCCTGAGAGAATCACTGCGAGCGGATCTCGGAGATCCTCAGCGCGTGTCCAGTCTACTTGGGATGATGAAGATGACGACGACAGCGATGGTCCGCCGCCCCTCATAGACGACGATGAACTGATCTCCACCGTTCGTATGGGGGAAGGCCCAAAGATTGTTCTCGGGGCACCTACTCTCAACCCATCTGTCTCTTGCCGCAGTGAATTCTCCGGCAAATTGTTTCCCTTCAAATTCAACCCGCACCACGACCCGCAGACCAGTACGCCTTTGGAGCCCAAAGAACTTTTCCTTCCGAAAAAGTCCTCGATAGCTATTCCATCTGTTATCCGCTTCATCAATCGCTACGACGACTCGGAAGTTCTCATTTACACCGACGGGGCCTGTCTTGACAATGGCAACGCTGCAGCCCGCGGTGGCTCCGCCTTCATCTTCAAGCCGGTACTCCCCAATGACGAGAGCGGGTGTGTGGCCTTCAAGCTCGAGGACAAGGGGCCAGACGGCCAGACATACCGCCACACCAGCAACCGCGCCGAGCTGCGCGCCGCCCTCGCCGCGCTCCAATTCAGGGCCTGGTGGGGTGAGGGTTTCAAAAGTATCGTCATTGCCACCGACTCAAGCTACGTCGTGAATGGTGCCACCGACTGGGCTCGCGCGTGGATCAAGAAGGGCTGGCGAACAAGCGCCGGCGAACACGTGAAGAATAGGGACCTATGGGAGGCCCTGTTGCTTAGGAGTGAGATACTTCACGATAACAATGTCCACGTCCGCTTCTGGTACATTCCTCGCAAGTTCAATAACGAGGCTGACAGGGCTGCCAAACGCGCGGCTGCAATTGTTGAGCCGACCTTTGAGTTTAGCGAAATAATGGGGGTTCTCGTTTAAATCTACGGTATACGCTGTTTCTCGGCTCCTTGATTGGGGGTACCATCGACGACTTGACGATTACCCGCCCATCAGACTTCTAGCAACGAAAGACATTCTTTGCTATTTTCAACGCTATGAATAACCAGGCGTAGGACAAGGCTTGGCAACGCGGTATTCAAGCACTCTTCGCCTTCACTATCATTATGAGACAGTATAATTTGGGGCTTCCCCGATACGACACTCTGAGCGTTGAGTGTGAGGGAGGATGTGAGGGACTTACCGTGTAGCTATATGGTAGGGAGCCCTCTGTGCGAATGGGATCACACATACGGCAAGGCTTTTCTAACGATCAGACCTAGACTGGGGCTTGGCTCCCCATTGTTATCAAGCACTTATTCTTAAAAACGTTACAGTTCACTGATGCATATTAAGGCTTGTGTCATGGTCTGGAAAAGGATGATTTTGTATTGACAGGCTCCTAATCCATGCGCAGAGCTTCCTATGAAATACCCGTGATAGGTGTATTCCCACCCTTGAGTGAACCGTTATGCGAATAAGCACTTAAGCCATCGACACAACTAACTCTGGCGGTACTCTACCTAGCACAGGCCCCTCGCAAGAAACACCAACAAGACGAGAAGAGGGCGCACTTAGTAGAGGCGCTTGGGGGGAGACATGGAAGCCTTGATGGTCAAGCTTCCAACGTTCTGCCAGCCCTTCTTCAGCAGGGAGACGAGGTAGTTGATGGCCAACATGATGTTGGCAATCAGCTGCTCCTGGGTCATGCCGACGTTGCCGACGGCGACACCCATGCAGAGAACCTTCTTCAGCTGGAACTTGATGGTGGACTTGACCTCGGTGATCTTGCCAGAGAGATCGTCGGCGTGGGAGACGGGGGTGGGGAACTTGCCGGCTGCGAAATTGTTAGATACGGGTTCAAATCTGAAATAGCAAAAGGGGAAGTGAAGGAACATACCCTTGGACAGACCGGGACCCAAGAGACGGGGGATCTGCTTGATCAAGGTCTCGGAAGCGACGAAGGCGTCGTACTTGCGAGCGAGCTTCTTGATGAGCTTCTTGTTCTTGTTGAGCTTCTTCAAGTCGTCGGCGGACATGGCGTCAACACCACCGTGCTTGGCACGATCGATATCGTGCTGGTCACCGAGAATGCAGATGCTCATGTTGGGGCGGGGGACGACCGGGAGGCGGACGGTGCCGGAGAAACGCTTGTCACGCTGGGGGTCATAGTTCTTGAGGCCGATCTGAAGCTCGACAGACTCCTGTGAGGGGTATTAGCATTTGCTGATTGCTCCGCTTCGGTCGCGGACTTTGCGCTCAATTGAGCGACAGAGGTGGGTAGACTGACGAGGAAGTTGCGCTTCTTGGTCTCGAGAGAGTACTCGAGCAGCTCAGAGACCTGAGTGCGGACGTTGGCAACCGTAATTTTCGACATCTTGGCGATATCTCCCAGTAATCTGGTGCTTACGGTAGATGTTGGATGGTGATGGGGTTGAAGGGGAAAGAGAAGCAGCCGGGGACAAATTTCGGCGGGGCGCCTTATTGTTTTTCAATTAGGGCAGGGAAAAAGTTTGGCCACACCACCGTGTGTGGGTGGAGTGGACCGTGCGCGCGACGTTCCAGAAGATGCAGGCGATTGGTTGAATGTCACTGGGAGACGGGAGCGCAAAAAAAAAAAAAAAAAAAAAAGTCAGTCGGGACCCTGGCGTTTTGGTGCCCCGCGATGAGTCTTCGCCGGCGCGTCGAGTTAATGCTACGAACCACGTGCTGAAAACTCGTGGTACCTGGAATTTTCCCGTGTCCGATACGAAGCACCTCGAACGACGAGGCCTTCCCAAATCGGAGATTCTTATGTAAGATCTGAAGCAAATCAGAAATTTGAGTGCACTCATTTCCGATACTTACACGCCGAGTTGTAGACGACAGACGAAAGGAAAAAACACACCCCTGTTACTCACTCGGCCAGCACTCATTCGCTTCGCCGCTGCCCCTCGGTGCCCCTCCTTCTACCCAACTCTCAGAGTCACTCGCCGGGTTCACCAATAATGCGATAGCGATGAAGCAGGATACCGTCCCCCAGTACGAGAGCTTCGTCAACCCGAGTGACCTGCTCAAATGGGTTGAGGAACAGCCCGAGGAATCGTGGATCTCGTAAGACATTTCCCCCAGTCAATACCCCTCCAAAGTGAATGGTCCAAGCGTAGTATGTGTGTTAACATCATTTTTGCAAATAGCATCGCGCAAAATGTTTTTGACCACCTCCTCTCCCTGGCCGCTCAGCCAAAGGGAGTCTCGGGCAACTCATGCGTGAAGCTCTGCGGATTTGTCGAGCAAAGCTCAAAGTCCGACAAGTCAGCCCTGCGGCAATGGGCTTTTTCCAAAGAGCCCAGCCTGGGACTCTTCAACTTCTTCATCAAGTGGAATGAGACAGAGCAGCACCGGTCCATGAAGCTGGTCCTGGACCTGCTCCCCTCGCTCATCCGCCGTAACCCCGACCATGCTGTCTCTGACCTGGTCAAGACGACCATCTTGGACACTCTCATCTCCATCATTGGACCGCAGTCCACCAAGCCTTTGGTCAAGTCGTCGCTCAAGGCCATGGACTACTTTGCCGGCAAGTCCGTTTTTAGCGTCGAAGACATTGCGGCGAGTTATAAGCGGACGCAGCCAGAGTGCAGCTGGGCGTCCGACATTGCACTGTGGGAGGACTTTTTCGGCCAGATGCTCGACTGGATGACCATGCACTACGTGTGCCCGACTACGGGCAAGTTCATCGTGACCATTTTCAGGGCACTGAGACAGCAGTCTCTAAAGACCCCGCAAGTTGCAGACGATGAACAGTTCAGCGTTGAAATGTGGCTTCGCTGGGTCCAGGCTGCCATTGCCAAGACGCCGTCTTTGCTTGAGGGTATCAAGACGTATGTTTTCCTTCCGTTATTCAAGGATGACCGCAAAGACTCGGTCCAGATCCTGGAACAGATCAACAGCATGTGGTCTACCTCTGGCTCGGCCGTGGCTGAGCTAGACACTCTGGCCCAACTGAACCTCGCCGTGCTGGAGGTTGGTAAGAAGGTAGGCATGGTCGAGGAGCCCGGCGCCATCTACAGAGAGGAGTCCTCTTCAGCAGTAGTCTTGGAAGAGGCCGTGCTCGAAAGGGTTCTGTCACATCCTTCCCATGAGCTCCGCTCGCTGGCGCTGTCCCTCATCGTCGCCTCACCTTCAACGACGAGGCCTTACTCACCAGTGGCCCTCCGCCTGCTGCAAGCCCATCTCCCGACGTACTTCTCGGAGTCGGACGCAAAGTTCCGCATGGAACTGCTGAGCAAGCTCAAAGATATGTTCAAGCGCAGCAGAGGCGCAATCTTCATCCTGCATAAGAGTCTGGCCCGTCTCAAAGCCTTTGACGGCGCTGCCAATGGTGCGCCAAAGGCCCCTAAGGCGCCGCCGAAGCAAGCGAACCACCGCACCAACATCTTGCTCTGGCCAGAGGATAAGCTGCGAGCCAGCTTGGAGCAGCACGAAAGCTTTTTGGCGTGGTACATTGCATTTTTGCGGTCTGAGCTGATCCCCACAGCCTCTTTCCAGCGGCACTTTACCGCGCTAAGGGCCGTTGCCTTCATCCTCAAGCTCGAAGCCGACGCTGGCAAGACGTGGGAGACGGAGGAGGACGAGACCCTCTTCTTCAACCTGTTTGACGGGAAGTGGACGCGCGTGCTCCTCGACCTCATTATGGACCCATTCGACGACGTTCGGGAGAACGGTACGTCTGTCCTCAAGAACTTGTTTGGCGACAAGCGCTTCAAGTGTCTCGTTGGCGCACAAGGTGTCTCACCGACACTGGAAGAGTTCTTGTTGAGAGCCGAGGATATTGCGCGGAGGACGGCGCGAGCTGATCACGCTGATGGCGTTGCTCGGACAAACGAGCTTCTCTTTAGATTCTATGACGGTAGGGAGGCGCAGATTGCGCATATTTCAAAGTTGATGGACCTTCTTGAGGGCAAGCTCGCCTTTGCAGAGGCCGATCTGGGTAATGCCGTTCTTGAGGCGCCGGTGCATGGCTACTACGCTTCTCTCCGGTGGGTGCAACAAATACTATGCCTCCTTCGAAAGGTGCCGTGGACTGACCGAGGATTAGGTATATCTGGCAAGCTGCGGCTGATATGAGCTTTTCGGCGTCCGAGATGGAAGCAATGGCTATCCTTCAGAACCGCATTGTCAAGTGCTGTCAACGCATCTGGACTGCGGTCAGAGACATTCTGTGCGACGACTCACCCGAGGGCCACTTGCCCCAGGAGCTGGAAGATCTCGAAGGTCTTGACACCAAGGACCTGCTGAGCTACAGCTTCCGCGCCATCCACGAGTCCAGGTAAGTAATAAGAGTCTACATAATGCTGTGTAGATATCTCGTCTAACATGCTACTCAGTGCTCTGATGCGTGTCATGGTCCTGCCTCTCAAGTCCAAGGCCAAGGAAGGAATTCTGCGCCCCTCGACTGACCTCTTCACAACTGTCGGATCCTTGACCTTTGACCAGCTGTCGAGCCTCAGACACCGCGGTGCCTTCAACACTGTCTCACTGTCGTTCGCAACCTGCTGCCAGCTGGTCAAGCACCTCGATGACCCTCAAGCAGGCCACGAGAACGGCGAGACCCTGCTCGACGTCTGGTACAGGGGAACTAAGGAGTGCATCTTTTCCCAAGCATCCACTACCCGCCGCTCTGCCGGTATCCCCGCCATGATCACCGGAATAGTCTCGGCCAACGCGCCGCAGCCCTCCTTCGACGCCGTCATCGAGGAGCTCGTCGCCATCGCCCGCAAACCCGCCTTCAACTCCGAGTCGGACGGCTCCAAGCTGCCCCAGGTCCACGCCCTCAACTGCCTCAAGGACATGTTCAAGAGCTCCTTCATCACCCAGCTCGGCAAGTCGGCGCCGCACATCCCGCAGTGCCTCGACCTCGCCGCCGGCAGCCTCAAGTCCGAGGTCTGGGGTATCCGCAACTGCGGCCTCCTCTTCCTCCGCTCTCTCCTCGACAACCTCTTTGGCACAAACGAGAGCAAAGCCACCCTCGAGGCCGGCTGGGATGGCCGCACAACGCGCCTGCAGTACCACAAGTTCCCCATCCTGCCCTCCGTGCTATTGAACCTCCTCCGCTCCGGCCGCGAGGTCATGAAACCCACAACGCTGGGAAGCACCATCGCCGCCGAGTCCGTCTTCCCTGCCCTCGACATCATCCGCCGCGCCGGACCCCCCGACGCCTCGCGCGACGAGCTGTACGGTCTCGTCGCGGGCTACCTCGCCAGCCCCGTCTGGCACGTCCGGGAGATGGCCGCTCGCGCTCTGTGTTCTTTCCTCCTTAAAGACGACGATTGGGTCAGCCTTGCCGAAGCCATCATCAAGGACTCCCTCGCCGCGGCGCCCGCGAGCAGGAACAACCACCTACACGGCGGCCTGCTGACCGTCAAGGCGGTCTTTGAGCGGCTCTCCGACGTCTCGCCTCAGAGACTGTCGTCTGGCCTCCCGCGCGTGGTCTCGATTCTCGGCGGTGTCGAAGCCAGCGCGTCTGACTCCTTTGCCTCCTGCCCAGACATCCGCGCCGCTTACCTGGAAGTCCAAAACCTCATCTCCCTCTTCGCCCTATCTTACCCGTCATCATCATCACCGTCATCACAGGGCGCTGCCTCCACCACCATCTCACAATCCCCACAAAGCGCCCTCCTCCGCACCCAACTCGCCATCGCAGCAGTTCACGCCGCCCAAACCTCCTCCTCGCCCTCCGCCTCCCTCCGCGAAACCCTCCTCTCGACAAGAACAACAAGCGTAGAGACAACAATCACAACCCTCGAAACCCTCGCCTCAGTCCACCACCCGCACCTGTCCCCCGCGGAAGCAGCATCCTACGCCGCGCTGTACACCGACGTAGCCTGCTCCGCAACACACCCAGACTCCTGCGCCGCCGCCCTCGTCAACCTCGCAGAGGTCCTGGACCTCGTCCTGGCGGCAGCAACGGCCTCCCGCGATGCCGATGCCGATGCCAACTCTCGACAACCCTCAAACCTCCTCCCCTCCCCCGAGACCCTGACACAGCTTTGGCAAGGCCTCCTCGCGAGAACAATCAACCCAAACCTCTCCAACGCAATCACCCGCGCCAGCGGCCCCATCATGGCATCCCTCGTCTCTCAATCTCCCGCTAACCCATCCACCGCGCGCTCCCTCCGCGGCTGGGGCAACCTAATGTCCTCGGCCCTCCACGACTCCCGCCCCTTTGACACCCGCATCGCCGCAGCAGCCTCCCTCGCCTCCTTCTTCTCCGCAGCAACCTCAACCTCTTCAACCACCGCAGACCAACACCAAGCAGAAGCAGAGGCAGAAGCACCCCTCCTCCCCGCCCTCATAGCCCTCTACGACGCCCTCAACGACGACGACGACGAAGTCCGC